AGCATACTGAGCATCTTTCTCTTTGACACCATGTCTGATATCCCACGTGATCTGTCAAATACTAATGCATGAAAATCCTAACCTCAAAAAAATCACCCATTATTAGCAATTTGCTGGGAGAAAGATTTTGTGTCTTTAGTACTTGCTTATTTCAAGGCAAAGTGCTATTTTTTATTATTCTTGTTCGCTGAAAGTTTTATTAGCCTGACTTATCTAACTTCAGTTTAATGCAATAAAAGAGTTATAGAACCAGAAGTTTCTTCTCCAAAAAAATTTATTCTAATGTATATTATTGTATATATTTTATCACCTCGTTATTGGGTCTGCATTATATTTTTGCTTGTTTTCTTGGAAAGACCTTAGCCGAGAACTTTCGATCATTTCGATTCTGTCCTGCATGATCATCTTCTCATGGAAATCAATAATTCAAAATTCAAAATTCAAAAAAAGCGGATAGCCGTACCATCCTCTACGTAAGATACTTGTATTCTAAATTCTTAGTTAAAGATTCAGAGCTGCAGATGTCTCTATTCATAAAATCGACTGCAACAAGAAAAACTGCAGGCAACAGTAAACAAAGTACAACGCATTTTCGAAGTGGTTGGTGCTGTTCGTACCATATATCGTGGCTTGTTTTTGGCCTGTGACACTTACAAAGCCTCTCTATGGTGGGAAACAGCCACGAAATTCTTGCGGTGCAAAAACCTCTTCTACCTACAACGTTGCGATGCTTGCCTGTTGACCCGTCGCACCGTCTCAACGGATGATATGCTGACTTTCAAAAGTACAGTTCCTCCTGACCTGCTTGTCATACAGCGTAAATTTGCAATCAGGTTAAGAAGGGCTTGAGTGTGTCCTTGCGTCGGAATTGCTGGATTTCCGATGACGATGTAGAGAGGGAGGGACAGTCATCCTAGCGGTCGGGTGACCTACGAGTACATGCGGGACGTTAGGTTTGTTGAAGGTAACCTATACTTCAGATTCTGTCTAACATTGGGTTTTTTGGCAACGAGGTATGGGTGGCCTCAGCGGCACCTATCTGTCAGGTCGGGGTGTTTGTGTGGGGCACAGATAGAGGACTGAGTGCATCGAATTGCAGAATGCCTCATGTACTCGGACATTAGGGATCTGGGTGGTATGAGGACTAGCTGGACTGATAGACCTTTAGATGTTAGCCAGTCCAGAGCAGTATGGAAGCGCAGCTGGTAGTAGTTTCGGCTAATAGGTCCGACCGGAGACTTAATGCTTGTGCCACAAAGAGCAGAAGCTCTTGGAGTTCGCTCTAACCTGCTGATGCGGATTGGAGTATTGTGGTGATTGTGGTTAATTCCCAATTGCGAGGAAAACTAACAATTTGTCAGTTGAATGTACAGTTGCATTACAAGCGGGGGCCGTACCCAAAGCACGACTGAAGTTGTACATGGGCCTAGAATCCTGCCATGGGGCAAGGAAGGTATCATTGTCCCAATGGTGTGAAAAGTTAGTATGTACATTCCACATGGCCAGTTGACACTGAAAGTTGTCAGGCATTTTCAGGGCGCTGATAAACGCATTGATTTGAGCGCCGTGAGGAAAGCCGTCGCCTGCAGGTACTCACATAAAAACACAACGAACTTTGTAACAAGGAATTTTACCACTTCTTAAGACCAGAAAAATTACTGGCTGTCCCGAAAACCGCAGTATTTTAGTTAAATTGACATTATTAATAGTTTACTTTTAGAGTCTTAAACAGTTCGTTGATGTATTCAAGATTTTAAACTATAAATTCTTTTATTTAACAACACTTTAACTGATTTCGTCCTTTTACATATGATGCTGAACTGAAGTTGCTACTCGTAGAGTATAAAATGTTCGATTGCACCCGAACTTAGCAAGTCATTATTTGTCTGGTTTAATTTCCAGATATTTCACAAAGTTCTGAAAAGTTAATGAAAATAAATTTCAAAACTTCGGACCATACAATTTTTTCCAATATCCTTAGAATTTAGTTGTTTAGCAGTTGACGTTATTCTACGTATCTGTCTTTTTTCTGATTCTTCATACGAATACATTTGTTTTTACAAACATCGAGTGTAAGCAGCTGAAGAACTGCATACTGAAACGCGCTGCCTTAAAAAGTGGTATAAATTCTTTAGCAAGTGGAAAGAGATTTCTTTGTCACAGACAACTGTTTCGCTACACTTTTACTATTTTTCATCGAAATGCTCTACGCTGACACTCCAAAATGCAATGTTACAAGAATGTATCTGTTTTGCAAACATAGAAATTATTAAGAGAAGAAAAGAACAGCTGAAACAACAGTTCTGTGTTATTGATCAGTGATGATCACGATATTTTTAAAATTGGAAAAGAGAACAGCTGATGATGGTGATCAAGGTATGTCAAGGTTTTATAACTTGAGAGATGACATCGCTCGAATAATTTTAAAATAGTGCCAGTTCCATAAGCTTAAGTTCAGATCCCTGCGGGTTTAACAGCGCTATTCAGTAATGCACGAACATTTTCTAGCATTTTCATGCTTCAAGTAAAGTGCTTACACCACGACTTGTTTGTTAGTTAGCAATCAGGAAACTTTGCTAAGCAACTCTGTGAATGATTAATCTCATCAAAGCGCTTGACTGACACACATTAAAAACAAATAAATAAAGAAAGAAA